AAAGTGACTTTTGCTCTACTCCGTATAGTGTTCTTTTCCTATCTGTGAAAAAGTAAAATTTTTTTTGTTGAGGTCGTTGGTGGTACTTAACAAAGGCTCTTTCTAATCTTGTCTGTATGGATTTAAAGTGTGAACATGCTTCTATTATTGGTAGAAAAATCAGCCTGTTTGCTCGAGCCGTACCAGAGAGATATGCAATTTTTTCTAACTCTAGTCATTTTCTGGACACCCTATATTTATAGAATCCATAGAAATATATAATCAATAGTTACGAATACAAGAGATTGATATATATTTCTAAATATAATATTTCCTTTTAAACAGTTGAGAAATCACATTATCTAGCATTTTTGTTCATGTTTCGTCTATTGAAGTTTTGCAAGGAAATGTTTTTCCTTCGCTATCTTAAGAAAAAACAACCTCTATTCAATCTCGATATGTAAATATTATATAGAGTATATCATGTGATAAAAATTTACAGGGGCGTAATTCATCATCGAAGGCAGGTGGGGAGGACATAGTGAGGGCGCAGCATTAGTTAGTATCAAAAAGCGGGGCGCTGCACAGGAAAGTTTCAAAAACAGGTATAGCATTATGCCCACACATCCCATCCTATTTACGCCACTGAAAATTTAGTTTTATACAAAACAAACTTTCAAATATCTATTTAAGATATTTGCTTCATCATTTGATTCACATAAATAACATGAGATATGACAATAAAGGATAAGTGTAAGTGTAAATGCAAATAATCATGTCTTTTTTTCTATGGCAAAACAGAACAGAAAAAAAAAGACAAAAACGCCCATTCACTAAATATTGTTAATTAATATGATGCATTCATCCATGCAATAACTTTCTTGTTTTTTCATTCTCACATACATTTTAGTACATATCAAACTGATTCTACTTCGTGCAATCTAAAAGTAGTGGCGGAGATACTTTATTGTCATATATAAACCTTGAAGAAATTTTCCTTTTTTTTATGTAGTAATAGAGAAAGCGATCTTCTATTTTTCTGTGCTATTTGATCACTGTTTAGCTAATATCATAATAATAAAATTTCGATAAGAACTGTCTTTGTATAGAACTTGACTATAATATCACATCATATTATTATTCATGTATATTCTTTTTTTTTCTTTGTTCGTCTCTTCTCTTTTATCTTTTTTTCTTGTCTCCTCTAATATTTGGCTGTCCATACATATTAGAGTATACAAAAAAGTAATGATGATAGAACAGAAAAGAAATACAGAAACAAGTTCAACAAGTTTTTATTTCATCACATTTTCAAAATAATCATCTTGACTATCCACACACAACTGCATTCGTTGAATCCATTTATCGAAGGTTTTTCTAGACTCTTCTTTATTCACAGAGTACATGAACTTGATTACAGCATTATACAATGACTCGGCATCGTTTTTATCACTCAGATTCTGTTTAATTAAACTGTAACCAAAACTCACGTGTTGCCTGGTACGAAGAATTAGGTGGATGTGGTATTATTGTAACACCTTCCAATTCAAGATAATTGGACACATCTTTATGAATATATGGTCTTCTATTATCGTGATAAAGTTTAATACCACGGGTGCCAAATAAGGGTTTTTGGTGTTTGATTTCGTCCACGAGTGGTTGCAGATAATTGTTGATCTAATACTGGTGGTCAACAGTTTGTCTTAGTTCCACATGATGAATTATAAAAGGATCAATTGACTTAAAAAAGATGGAAAATAAAGTCTTTGGAACAAACATACTGGGTCAAACCACGGTAGGTGAAGAGTCTCCTATTGCAACTCCCGCAGCATCTGATGACTTTCGATTAATTTGTTTATGACGAACTCACGACTCGTCATCTATCATCATATCATATAAGCGCTATGTTCCTTCTTCAAATTTTTCTAAATTTTGTTTGCATATTCAAACTTGTTGAACTCGTTGAAAATCGATCAGACGCCTAGGTATATAACGAACGGTAATTTGTGTAAGCTTTAAATGAACGCAGATGATTTTCTGAATGGTGCCGTAACTTCGACCAATTTGCTCTTGCATCTCTTCTATTGTAATATAAGGATCATGATTCAATAAGAAGGTACACCTGTTCAACATTTTCAGATGTTGCTACAGCAACAGGCCTGCTAAGTCATGTTTCATCTTCAACTTCTTCTCGGTCTTCACTAAACCATTTAGATAATCTTTCAACTGTTCTAGCAAAAGGAACTTGATCACCGTGAACAGAATATAGTTCATCATGAAATAGCTCTCACTTGAATGTGAAGTGCGGTATGCACTTTAATGTAGAAGCGAAAGTTTTCCGCATTCAACTAAAACAAGTGAACAGTGTTAAAGTTTAACTTTACTTTTTTAACTTTCTTGAAAATGCATAAATAAACTATACATACACGCAAAACAAAAAGACAGGTGTCTTAATGTATGTATATATTTACGTATGGACGGCTAGGCATGAGAAGAGACGAGAAAAAAAAGATGAAAGAAAAGAGAAGAGTATAACAAAGAAAAAAAAGAGAATGCACATGAGTAATAATATGGTCTAATGTTATAGTCAAGTTTTATATAAAAACGGTTCTTATCGAAATTTTATTGTTATAATATTAGCCGAAGAGTGATCAAGTAGTACAAAAAAAATAGAACATCGTTTTCTCCATCACTACATAAAAAAAATTTCTTCAAGCTTTATATACGGAAATGAAGTATCTCCGCCATCACTTTTGGATTCCCCTCAGTACAAGTTAAAAGGTATATTTCTTCAAATATGATCATGATTTTATCTTTTTCTAGTCTAAAATTCGATTGAATCTTCTAATAATATCAGCAGTATTATGTAACAATCAAGCAATTGATTATCGTTATCATAGTTCTTCCGAAGGAAAATATTTACTCTTCAATATTTTACTTTCTTGATATTCAACAGAAATATCACTAATTGCTATAAGATAATCATAACTCGTTGAAGTTGTAACTTTGTCGCATAATTGTATCGAAATTACAACTTCGACAAAAATTTTCCCGAAGTGACTTCAATTCAACTAAATATGAAATAAATATCAATAAACAGATGACATTAAAAAACAATATATATATACTTATAGTTGATTTTTTATTTTGCGTATTTCTATTAGATCTGAAATACACGTACAAAAGAGATCTTCGATTTCGATGAAATTTTCAGTATTTGTAGAGCTTTTAATTTTAGGCATTTTGATAAAAAAGACTTTTTGAGAAAACATTCTTTTGGCGGTGATATAACCAAAATACTTTAAGTAGTGAAAAATCACAAATTCCCGAAAAAAGTTTTGTCGCACAATTTTTTCAATTATTTTAGATAGTTTTGTACGATAAATATTTTGTTTTTAATATCATCAGTCAATGATATTTCTGTGGTATTTATTTGATTTGAAGTAATCCCGAAAATTTTTTTTTGTTGAAGTTGTAACTTTGTCAAACAATTTCGATATGACATATAGACACAGTCTAAAATATTACATATAATAAAAACAGATTCTTTTCCTTTTGTCATATTTTCAGAAAAATAAATATTCTGTGTTTGCACAAATAATCATCTTCAACTGAACTATTCGTAATCACTCGTGTAAAGTCACTACTCTTACAAGGTTTGTTTATTGAATTTAAAGTCGAAAAAAATCTTAACTTCCCTTATACTAGAGTTCTGCAACCCGATCTGACTCAACTCGAGGGGCGGGTTTGGGTTGAACTTCGTCGACTCGGCTCGCGTATGGGTTACACTTCGAAAGTTGTCGATTTTGTGTCAGATTCATTTTTTCTAGACGCAATCTACCACTTTCTCTGTATCTTTTCATGACTGACGTGAAATCAATCTACCATGAAGCTATCGGTTCATATTATCTTTAAATACTCTAGGATTGTACAAACAGTTCTGAAATGATTGCATAACTTATTCTTCTTCTTTAAGACAGAGACAAGTCCATTAGAGTAGAGGCAGATTACTGTACTTACTCGACCTGTGACGGTTCCCGATCAAAGAACTGGAATTGGTCACGAATTCTTGTGGAGAGAACTGGAACTAATCACTAGATCTAGTTCTCAAAAAAAAAGAACTAGCCACTGGATCTGGTTGTCAATAAAAGAACCAATTCTTAGAAATGGGAGCTGTCACGCGTCTAGTACTTGCATACTTCAAATTAAATGTTAAGTTCTACACGATATTATCTCGAATAAAAATAAAAAATCTTAACACCGTTGTCCACTCTTTTTCATTAAACTTCTCACAAACTTTTAGCAATAATATCAGATGCAATAGTAATCGGATAAGTGTTAGTCCCTTTGCCTATCCGGTGTACATGCCTTGGAACGAGCATAGAAAATAGTTTTCATTCCAACGCGCTCTAATAAGAGAAAATAAGCGTTAACGATAGTTTTATTCCTTGTTTTTGTCTCCAAACCTTTCTATCAGTAAGACAAAGTGGTCATCATCCGAACTATCACTTTTAAATCATGTAACAATGGTTAATATTTAGGAGAACTTTAATAAGAGGGTTCTACTATACTATCATCGTTTCTTAGTAAAGATAGGGCCATAACAACTGATATCTTACCATTGTATGGTACTATGTTGATTCAATAATCTATGGAAAACTTGAATAGTTTGCTAATACTGTGTGCAAGAACAATAAAGTTCCATATCGTTGTAGAACTAATAAGGCCCTGTGTGTGTCATTTTGATATATATCCTGTACCTTTATGAAAATTTCAGTTTTTATTGAATAATCATATTGGAAGAAAATAGCTCCAGTTAACTAAAAGACGTCAGGTTAAGTTCGAGTTCCAAAGATTGAACTCGCGCAGGACTCTACTTTACATAAATGCAAAAAAAAACAAACCTTTTTTTCGTTTCTTCAACAAACAAACATTTTCTTATTGAGATATAACATTAGATTTCATTTTCTCCTTCTATGACAACTATCTCTAGAATATTAAAATTTCATTACTTTCATCAAATGCCTCAACCATGTTCGATCAAAGATTGCACACGAACACCACGTTGGGTTTGTGATTGTTGCCAGCAAAATCTTTGTTTACAACATTTAAATGAACATAATGATCTACTCATTTCTCAATTGAATCCTTTAACACTTGAAATTAAGGCACTTGAAGATTGCCTTCAAGCATTAAATATTCAAAAAACAATTGATAATAGTCGTGAAAAACTTGAAGAATGGCGTGATGATTGTTATAAGAAGATTGATTGTTTATTTGAACAAAAATGTCGAGAACTTGACCAAGTTATTAATGAAAAAGTTGACCAACAGCGTGAAGAACTCAATCGTATACATTTGAAGATAACTGAACTGATCGATGCACAAGAAACATCTCGACAAGATATAGATTTATTGACATCAACTATTCGTCAACTCGAAATAAATATAAACAACATTGAACAAATATGTTTTACGATCGTTACTAGTCCATTAGTAATAGACGACACATTCATTTTTATTAAGGAAACAACTGAACATGAACTTGATCTATCAACTCTTTCGCCTGTGTACGAAACTATTCATCGTCCCAAGGGAAGTTCTGGACCATTAACTTGCAATGATCGATACCTATTGATACATCAACATCCAAATTTATGCCTATATGATCGAGAAATGAACATAGTCAAACAAACGTTATGGCGTTATGGTAGAATTTGGGACATGTGTTGGTCGTCAACATTAGGTCGATTCATTGTACTTGAACAAAATAACATCTATCTCATTAACGAAAATACAATGTCAATTAATAATGTACACTCAATGAAAGATCGAGACTGGGGAGCGTGTACATGCTCTGACACAGTTCTCTTTACAAGCACAAATGAAGATGGTTCATCTATTATGGAATTCATATTATTTCCAGCAATCGAAATGATTAGAGAATGGAAATACCCTCTTACATGTGCCAAAGATGAAATTATCGATGACATTGTTTATAATAACGGAAATCTTGCTCTGGTACTTAAGAATAAATCCGAGAAACCACTGCGCATTGAACTGAGATATGCACAGACGCTTGGCAGGATCTGGACACTTCCAATTGATATAACGTACGTTCAGAAAATAGCATTTCGTTGTTCTTCACTGACTTGTAATGAATGGCTCATTCTCGACTATGAGACTGGATATTTGTTTCAGATTACAAAAGACGGAAAAATAAAAAAAACAATCCAATATCATCCAAGACCACACCGTGCTATTATGTTCGATCTTAATAAGCTAGCTATATCGACTGGGAAGCATGTAAACTTGCATACAATTCAATTAAATGAATAACTATTTTCGTTTAATGCTTCCTTTACTTATTCGATGAAGAACTCGAACTAAAAATAAATAACTGTATACTTCTGAAATATTATATAAGATTAATTAGATCATCCAGATCAATCAAATTAGAATACTTTTTTATGTTGTTATATGGAAATAAAACATCAAAATCAGTTAACCAATAAAAATAGAAAAAGTTATATTGAATTGAACGTTTGAAGTAGAAATCATAGATGGTGACATTAAGAAGACACAACATATATGTCAGCCATACAACTTTTAATAATTACAAGAGTTTATACATACAGAATTCCTCATATAAAGCATCAAATGTAGTCGACAATTGCAAGAAAACTTTTTAAATGTAAAGTGACATCATAACTATCTAATAGTTTCTTCTTTCTCTGGACAATATAAGATTCTGAAAAAGTTTTTGGAGCAGATATATTTGCAATAGAAATAATTCAGTGCGTATGTTGGAATACTTTTTGAACCGTAACAAAGTATTCAAAGAAAGTTGAATGATTGAATGTTAACTCGAAAACTTTTGTTGATTGGAAAAGATCCCGAAGTTGTGCGCATTATTTTCGCTGATTTGTTGCGTATATGTAGGAATTTTGTTCTCAGAAAAACCCTAAGGGGAGTGAGGCTAATACAACTTCTTCCAATACATATGAATATATTCGATCTTTCATATAGAGAGAAATCATATTCATAAGCCTCGTATAACTCAAAATAAAATCATTTAACTTCTTACAAGATACAACTCTATGTTGTAAGTAGATATAGATACGAATTAGACTAAGAAATTCTTAAACAATATCAACTCATCCCCTTCTCGACAAAAATTACAATATTCTTACAAATTTTAAGCATATAACCAGGCATTTTTCGAAAAAATTGAGTTAAAGAATTTCTATCTGAAATTTTGCCAACAGATAGATCTAGTTGTTTTTAGAATATTTTGGAAGTTTCAATCATAATAAAAGTTCTTTTCTCATGTTAGAACGACTCTCTTACGGGTTTTATTCTAATGATTTCTCTTTTAATATAAATGTGAAAATATTCATACCTATTGAAAGATAGATCAGTTAAAGGCCTTGCCTCAAACGGTAAGTGTGATAACTACTTACATATTATAGCAAGTTCGCATTTATAAACATATGTCTATGTATTTGTGAATGATCAAAACATATTTTAAAAAAAGTTAAAATGTTCTGTATTGAATGTGATATTTATTTACAATTAGGAGATCATCAGATTTCTAAAGTTTCAAAAACATAACAAGAAAATGAATTCATCTAAGTTATTATCCAAAATGATTTTCTTGTTGACGAGTATTGTATCATATCATACCACTAACAATATACATATTGTATGTGAGAACTAATGAAAAACTTTTTATACATTTATTAGTAATGATCAGACCCACAAAAGTGTGAAATCTTTATGATAAAATTTACATTTTTTTATTTTCTTACTGCTAAGGTATCGTCTCTAAGTAAAATACTTTCTATAAATGACTCAATTCGTATGAATATCCAAAACGTTGCTTCTTCAGAAAAAAAATGTGACGTAACTTCGTTACTCGACAAACTGATTCAACTAATTTTACATAAGGCATGTGTATTTAAAATTGTTATTTGGTTATTCTTGCGTATTATGGATAGTAAAAGAAATAAGAACGAAGACTTGATTAAAAATATGATAATCTTGATTCCCAATAGAAAGTTTTCTTTTAGATAAAGATAGTAATGCAGTTAGTTGTTTTATATATAAAATTTAACTTGAATTTGATTACTCACATAACTGAAACAATTCAAGATTCATCATTGAATAAATTACTTAAATCTCGTTATCCTCTTACGTATTATCTTAGCCGACAACAAAAATTTGTTCATGCCTTATTGATGACGCAGACTAACGCAACATCTACTTCTTCTGATACGATTTTTTTATTTAATAAATTCATTAGATACTTTTTTTTTCTAGGATCTGAAACTAGTGTGATTCATAAACGAAAAACATGAATCACAAATTCTTCCAATGAAGCTGATATTATTCATCCTTGTACATCAGAATGTATGTTTCAAATCAGAATTTTTTTTATGTAACAAAAAATATATATTTTTTTGAATTTATCTGAATTAGTCAATAATACACAAAATATTATTAATACTGATCAACATGAGAATACAGCACATGGTTAGTAAATTAGTACAATTACACGAAAATTTCCTATTACATTGTCAAATATTATTTTTTCCTATTGAAACTAATTATTAAACACGCAACATATTCTTAGAAAGGAAACATTCAACTAATAGTTACAATTATATCTAGAATTTATACAGTTAAAACTTCACTAGTCTGATTTTAGTCAATGGAAGTTTTTCGTAAAACTATTCATTAGAGAATATAAAAGCCGAATTTAGTTTGTCAAACGCTTTAGAAAAATTCTCTCTTTGTAAGGTGCACCAAGCGCAAAAAACGAGCAAAAAAAATAAGTTGTTTTAATTTATATATGGTTTGATAGAGTTTTTCGAGACGAATCTGAATATGTACTTTTTATTGTGTTTTGATCAAGTTTTGGGCCTAAAACCTTGAAAATACTGAAAAAAATGAAAAAAGTGCAAAAATGCTTTGTTTTGGAGAAAATGCGAAACTTCACCTCTTTCCTCTCAATATAGGTTTTCAAAACTACTTTATTCGGATTCAGCATGTTGAAATGAGTATTAAAATGTAAGTTTGGATAGTCTTGAAAACATTTCAAAGCAACCATCGTTCCTTAACAGTTCAGTTTTGGCGCAAAATTTACATGGTGACACCCTTATCTCGTAAACCTATGTAGTCTTTTGTTTCAAATCATTTTCTCAATCTTAATACACCAATCGAGTCCCCATGAGACAGCAAAGAAAATTACGTATCGGCTTGAAGAAATTTTGTTTCTTGACTGAGATATTCCACTTTTCCTACATAGATGATGAAATAGCTAGCTTGCTACCCCTAAATCGCAATTTTTTGCACCAAAACTTAGTTTTTATGCAATATGACCATTATATTCGGAATCAGCATGAAAAACTGAGTTGAAGGTGGTATGAATCAATGAATTCGGAGCACTTTTATTTTTTTTCAAAATTTTAGTGAAAACCTCCGGTAGAATTTTGTCAAAAAATGAAATTCAAGTTAAACGATTGAAATGCGTCTCATTTGGCTCAGTTTTTCATGCTGATTCCGAATATGATGGTCATATCGCATAAAAACTAAGTTTTGGTGCAAAAAATTGCGATTTAGGGGTAGCAAGCTAGCTATTTCATCATCTATGTAGGAAAAGTGGAATATCTCAGTCAAGAAACAAAATTTCTTCAAGCCGATACGTAATTTTCTTTGCTGTCTCATGGGAACTCGATTGGTGTATTAAGATTGAGAAAATGATTTGAAACAAAAGACTACATAGGTTTACGAGATAAGGGTGTCACCATGTAAATTTTGCGCCAAAACTGAACTGTTAAGGAACGATGGTTGCTTTGAAATGTTTTCCAGACTATCCAAACTTACATTTTAATACTCATTTCAACATGCTGAATCCGAATAAAGTAGTTTTGAAAACCTATATTGAGAGGAAAGAGGTGAAATTTCGCATTTTCTCCAAAACAAAGCATTTTTTGCACTTTTTTCATTTTTTTCAGTATTTTCAAGGTTTTAGGCCCAAAACTTGATCAAAACACAATAAAAAGTACATATTCAGATTCGTCTCGAAAAACTCTATCAAACCATATATAAATTAAAACAACTTATTTTTTTTGCTCGTTTTTTGCGCTTGGTGCACCTTACTAAATCAACTTTATGTCGAAATAATAATGGGTGAACTAGAACCATAAGGATCTTAATATATTTTATTTTTGATATTTCGCTCAGTTTTCATTTTCCAGGCTTCTTCTTAATATCATTTTTGAAATCAAAAAGAAGCCGGTATAATAAAAACTGATCAAGATACCAACAAAATACGATCGTTGCATTGTACAATTTAGGATTAGTCGTTACTGTTAATAGTTTATCAGCTAGTTTTATTATTTGATTTGAGATAACATGACTTGTATATTCATTAATTCAATAAACTATTAATGCCTTTGTTATATATCGAATTATTGATAATACTTGTTGATTTATGTTGACTATTTTTATGTTATAACAATCATTGCAGTAACAGAAATTGATTAATCGCCCATGACCGATGTATAAAAGACACTCAAAAAAAACACGGCATATGGTTTTTGGAAGATCGAAAAAGTTCTTTAATGTATATTGAACATGAAAATGCTACTTTGCTTAAATTAAAATTCCTAATTTTTTTTGTCTAGGTAAAAACATGCGTTTGAATACGAGAAGAGTTTAAGAGTAAAATGATGTATGAGAATATAATTATATTTCTATTATAAATAAAACACAGATGATAAATAATAATAAGAATTTACTTTTTTACATTTTCAAAATTTTCATTCATATCTCGTTTTATTACATTAAGAAAATTTTCTTTTAAATTTTTTTCTATTCGAAATATAACTTCAGCTCCATTACTATCTCTTGGTAACCATTCATGTCCATTATATATTGGATTAAGATGAAATATTCGTAAATAAAATGCACCTGACCATCCTGTATAAAATCGACATTTATCTTTATAACCAAAATCAACTAAATTTGCCCAATCATATCTTAAATTTGAATTAATTATAATTTCATTTGGAACAAATCCTAAATCAGCAAGTCGATTATTATGAATCATTTTTCTCATTGCATCATCAGCTGTAGCTAACCAACATTCAAGAAATTTTGGATCACGTGATTTAATTATTGATTGACGAATTGTTTTAGCAATATTTGATAATGAATATGAATCTTGAAAATTATCTGATAACATCATAAATATCGAATTACCTATTTGACTATGTGATGCAATTGAATTAGATACACCACGAAAATTAATTGATGTATTTGTACGTAGAATATGACGTTGATCATTTTTATCATAACAATATGTATTCAATGTAAGAATAATATAAGCCATTAGTGCATCATGAATTGTTATATTATCTTCACCAGCTAAAATTCTTAATTTTACAAGTTGCTCAGTAGAAAAACATAAATTAACTTGATCATATGCTTCTTGATCAATCATAAATTTTGTCCACATTTCTTCGAATGTTTTAGCATCTCGGAAATGTTTCATTAGAGGTAAAAATGATGGATCAATTTTATCAGATTTCCATAAACGTCGTTCAAATATAGGTAATGGTTCAATAGGTTCCATTTGTTGATATAAACGAGAAAGAGTATTTAAAAATCTTAAACAAGAATAAGCATCACCTAATTCATGTGCCCAACTTATACCTAATATCCATTCATTACTTTGTATAATATGAGTTAATTTAATTCGTACAAGTGGTTCATTTTGTGTATTATCAAATAATTTTGTTACTTGAACTTCATCAATATATGTTGAAAGAGAATTTTTATAAAAATCTATTATTACATGTGAATCAAAAGGCCATTGAATTAAATCATAATTATTGATTAATGTTACTGGAATAGGATTATCACACATTTCAATAAAATAATGTTCATTCTCATCTATATAAGAACGACCAGCAATCAATGGCCATAAAGAAAGTGTACGACTGAGTGCTTCATTGAAACAATTGATATTTATTTCAGATGGATAAACAAATACATTATCAATACGTGCCATTCTCCATAGATCAAGACCAGCTAATTCAATATGACAATTATTACCCGCTGGTACTGATGGATAAATAAGAAAAGTTGATGTCATTTGAATTTAATAATAAAACGAATGAATGCATATTTTATATGAATCTATGATGTAATTTCGTAAGACTCAATTCATATTTCGAAATTATGTCTTATCTTTTTATTCATAGTTTACGATCATGACATGCACTTTTTTATCTTGAATGACGAATGCAGCTCACGACCATGGTACGGTTAACAGTAGATATTCAACAATCAAATAGAACAAGTATATCATAGAGGGTGTTCGCACCATAGGATACTTTTCATATCGCACATTCATTTGTAGCACCACCGGTATACCACGGTGTTCATAAGAACCGATGGTATACCAACGATTGACCACCGGTAGCGCTTATGACTTTCAGTTTCAACTATAAACGATTGCAGAGAGTGTTTTCTATCCAAATTCGAATTGATTATTAGAAAGTATTTAAATCTCGAATAAAGATTTATCCTAGAACTAAGGTCGATTTGGACTCTTTGGTTAGCGTAGCCAGCTCAGATGCATCAACATAATCAAAGTGCATCGAAATCGACTCAATTCTGTCAGCTTTATTACAGTTCAAAAACATTCACTGGTTTTTATACAATACATCGTCATATACCACTTTCAAAAAGAAAAACGCCGGTTTTTGTCTAGTTTGAATCACATGGATTATTAGAAAGATGTTTTCCATAATGCATATTTGTGAGAACATTTTTTAAGGTTTCTGCCTATTCTCGTCAAGACAAATCATTGTTTTCTAATGGCATTAATCAGTTTTCCTCTTTTATTAATATAGTTTATTCTTTAGACACTCTATTTTATCAATAGCATAGATTTTACAAAATAAACCTATTCTATTCAGTTAGAACATTTCAGAAAAGTCAAAATATTAGAATAATTTTATAATTGTAGTTAAGAGATAGATTATTTCAGATTAGAACATCTTGACTAAACATATTTCGTTCTGAATACTATTTAAAATATTCTAATATTATTAACTAGTAGAAAATATTTCTTAGCATTTTATTATTAACGAATATGGTGAATAAATAGTATTGAATTCCTAGCCTACTTTTCCTATAAAAATTGCACTAAATGAATAAATGATATAAATGTGTCAGGCAAAATTGAGATTTAGGCTAAATTAAACAAAAGTTTTAAAAGATTTAGCAATTAAACAATCAAACAAGACAAAGATAAAGAACTGATGTATTACGCTATATTTAACTTTAATTGGAGTCTAGTTAAATCTAGGAGGTTGTAGCGTTTGCTAATGTTCTCAATTGAAATTAAGTTTGTTTTAGCAAGATCCAACCAAAAAAACTGAAAAGAGCTTTAAACTTATGCTTTTTGAGTAATGGGTGTCCCAAAAGTTTTGGCCCCTCTCAGTAAAATCAATAGTGTCTATGTCAAACTTATATGAAGGTGTGGATCAAATTATGCGATTTTATAGAGGAAGAGAAGAGCTATCATCTAAGAAAAACACAGTTCGAAATACATATATTTATTACAAAGTTATGGTCATTTTACTAATTTTGAGTGAAAATTTTTACATTGTATTTTTTGAAAAAACAAAAATATTCTTATAATACTTGAAGTGAAATATTATTTTCCAGACTTTTTTATATAGCTCGATAGAGTTCGTCAAGCTCTACAAGAATATGAATATCAACAACTTTGCTGATCCTGTTTCTGATGCAAAGCTGGCAGAAAAGTAGAAAGACTAATAATAAAAATCTCATATATCTTGCATTAAAGAGAGTATACTTAACTTTCAATAACTTGAGTTAAGCGATTATTGATCTGTTTTTGACGCTTGGAAACAATATTTTCACCTACAGTACGTAACAAAGTATCTCGAAACATAAAATAACAGACTGAACAATCGATCTACCAAAGTTATTGAAAGTTAAGTATACTCTGCAATGCATCATATGCCAGATTTTTATTAGTCTAGCGGATTTCTTTGAAGTTTTGTATTGAACAGAGGATTCGAATTTTTTTGGATATCCATATTCTGGTAGAGCTTGTCGAACTCTACCGAATCAAATAAAAATATCTACTGAGACAATGTAGAAAATCATATTTCGATTGACTTTGATGGCTCAAACATTGCAAAAATTTTTTTGTTTTTTCAAAAAATACAACGGAAAAATTTTCACTCAAAATTAGTAAAATGACCATAACTTTGTAATAAATATATGTATTTCGAACTGTGTTTTTTTTCAGATGATAGCTCTTCTCTTCCTCTATAAAATCACATCATTTGATCGATACCTTCATATAAGTTTGATATAGATATTATTGATTTTACTGAGAGGGGTCGAAACTTTTGAGACACCCTTTAGTATTGTTTTGATCGATGTTGATTTGTTTTCGAATTAAATGTGGTTCATAGATGATATAATAAATATATAATCCTATTAAATTTTGATCGATTATTTTTCCAATCCCCTCAAAAAATAAAGAATGTTCTATCTTGTGTATTCCCTGTAGTCAAATAATAGTTAACTTCTCTTGGAATTTAATCCTTCAATAATTGAAAATATCACTTCACTTGTTTATAATGATACTTCCGAAAACCATTTTTCGACGTCGACGCATAAGGATCATTGATGCATATATTATAATATGAATAAGTGAAAATGAATACACTGTCTATCAATATTCATATCTATTTAATAGTTATTCATAGTTGTTTATTTATTTTATATATTTCTCACTGTCATGCTCCTTAATCGTAAGTACTACTCAATGAATATTCATAGCTATTTGTTTTTCGAAATGTCTAATCGTATACCTACTTAATCTCAAGCACTACTTAATCAATATTCATAGCAATTTAATACGTACTCAGCGACTTATTTATTCTATATGATATATTTCGAGTAAGGACAAAAAAAAAAGAAAAAATCGTCAACTAATAACCTTTTAATTTCTAACGATACTGAAGGAATAAGCGTAGCTTTTTAATATATACTCAGATATTCATTTATTCTAGTTGTTTTATTTTTCGAAACTATCATTTCAAGCATTGAATAAGTCTTTTACCTGTCCATAATTAGTTGTCAAATCGATTTAAGCATGCATGAAAATGTTTAAATAAGTACGATGATTTTTATATAGCAGTAGACTTTCAATAGCTAGTTACCAAAAGAAGTTCAATACGAAATTTTTTTAGAAATGAATTAGCTACTTAAATCATACAACAGCTATACACATTTTTTTTTCTAATAGCTATCAAAACTTTTTAAATAGCTATAATAAAGTTTCAATCACGTTAGATTTTGAGTAGCTAGTTACATGAAATAGTCCTGTAAACGAAAAGTTGTTACAAAACAATTAGCTGTTGATTATTTTAAAAAGTATCTCTTTTGAGAAGCTATGCTATCTAGCATACAAAACAGGTATGTGCTATGTTTTCTTAAAGAAAATAAAAGTTAGAATCTATTTTTAAATAAAGAAAACTATTTCGTCGTTCTGCGCCTAATTAAAAAAAAGAATTCTGCCTATGGTAAGTGACAATTCAGACTCAATCATGGCTTTGCTAAATTTCATTTATTCGTGTTACGACATCTCGAAAACTTCAAAACAGATCGGATCTATTTACATTCAGTTTTGTAGAAAAAACAGAAAACGGTGATGCCAATCGTTTTACTATTCTTTTTTTCTTGAGCTTGTCGCTTGATACATTTAGTGTGCCTAGGCTTTTAATCACGGCATTCGATCTAATATCAAATAACATTCAGAGAGAGAGCGAATTTATCCCTTCGAACGGTACTTGCTAAGCTGTTTCTCTATAGACAAAAAGTGTACTAAATTACTAGTTCTTTTGTTCCGATTGACAAATGTAGACTCTTATGTAGATTGGGGACGAGAAAAAACAGCAGTCTCGAATTGATTTCGTTTTTCGGTTCAACGAGACCTACGGTGTATGAAACGATTGATTTCGAAGAACGTTTTATCAAATGAGAGAAAGCAAAATCTTAAATTTGACACTATGCAATTTACGGAACAGATTCACATTATTGACAATGGTGCTGTTTCTTTTTTCTGTGCAAGAAATCGATCCCTAAGCAAATAAGAAAAAAAGCCCGATGATGCATAGAAGAAATACGATTTTTAAATCGATATATTTTGCAGAAAGTAAAAAAATAACGAAAAATAGACATGGTCTCAACATATTTTCTTTGGACTTTGTTCATCATATCAACTGTTGATTGTTACTGGAAGCCGATTCCCCTTACCAACTGGACTTGGCAACTATCTGGTCCGATTGATACTACCAAAAATGTCGTCATGTACGACATCGATCTCTGGGATACGTCAAAAGCTACGATCAACCAACTGAAATCAGCAGGCAGAAAAGTCATCTGTTATTTTAGGTAAACACTCATCTCTCATTGATCATTTCTTGTTCTACTGAACCTGCATATTTTAAGTCGCAAAGTTGTTCAAAAGAAAGGCGATGGAACATGTTTAGTGTAGGACATTTCTATTTTCCGTTGATACTATCGGTTATCGACCTTCCGTCATCCCTGCGTTTATGTTTAATGAGGGTTGTAATCATTTGAACCGCGTAGAAATTTCAACCTAACCATATCTGAGACACACTCTAGGATATCAAGTACGTAGGTTTTCTTTTGAAACAACATGAATGCTGCTGATGTTTAACCAAGTTCTCATGGAAGATTTCGAATAGAGTATATCGCTCTCGTCTTTCTGTCGATCATTAAATGAATTTAGGCACTTTCACCCGATCATCCAGCTTGATGAATGAGACGATCGGATTAGTGTGAAGATTTTCACAGGTTTTCAAATGATCGTTTGTAAATGATTTTCTGGGAGATTTTAGTGCTGGAAGTTACGAAGACTGGCGTCCGGACAAGACTCGTTTTCCTGCCTCTGTCCAAGGCAACAAGCTGGACGATTGGTAAGAACGAAGGTTTTGTCTTTTTGATATACTCATTCATATAAGAACATAGGGCTGGTGAATGGTGGCTAGATATTCGTCGTCTAGACATTCTGGGACCGATCATGCGCGATCGCTTGGACCTGGCTAAGAACAAAAGTTGTGATGGAGTCGAACCAGATAATATCGATGTTTATACTCAAGTGAATGGTGGAGGCTTCAGAATAACCTATCAAGATCAGCTTACATACAATACTTGGCTAGCTCAAGAAGCTCATGCTCGAGATCTTTCCATTGGTTTGAAGAACGATCTCGATCAAGTCAGAGATCTCGTATCTCATTTCGACTGGGCCGTTAACGAGCAATGTTGGGAGTACAATGAATGCAATACACTTCAACCGTTCATTACAGGTAACTTTTTATCAATAAAAATATGTCGAATTTTGCCACACTTTTTTACTTTGTAGCAAACAAGGCGGTCTTCAATTGTGAATATAAGGTTCACAACAATTGTCAGAAAGCTGTGCAAAGCAAACTGAGTTCAATTCTAGCACCATTAGAACTCAACGGAAAAAATATGAAAATGTGCAATAAACAAGGGCAGCTAGTATCATTTTGAATTGAGTTACGGATACTGAAAAGCTTCCCATAAAATAATAAATGAAAAATATTGAACGACCGATATGTTTCACTTGTGTACCGATCGGAAATGTTATATGATCATTGATTTTGCTGAAAAGATGTGTTGATGATTAGCAGTTCGATGAATTCGTATCGGTGAATATCTGCAAAGAAATCCTATCTTCAATATTCACAATCTGTCGGAAAGAAAATTCGATTTCTTCCACTGCTTATTTTAAACTACCAGTATGTTTCAGTTCGAGTGAGACGCAGTGAGCAGTTCTTTTTGTAAGTTTGATTCCGCGATAATGTTAAGAATTACGTCATCATACTATTACTTGAAAATATATAATGATAAAAATCATCTTGATTTCGAAACAACGACCTGATAGATGGATGTACGAAGAGGGATCGTCCTACACCACAATGGTGAATACTTAATTGCAATCGGTAACGGTAAACGGTCGCTGGAATTCCGTTCGGTAAAGGATTCTTTATCAATTGATGTGAAATTTTTTTAAAATTTTCTACATTTTTTTCTCGAAAAATTGAGCATAAAAATGTTTTTTTTTCGAAAATCTAACATGTTTTATTGATACCAATAACTATTTGTGTGAGGAAAGACACATTAGACTTTTCTAATCAGTCGAAATTCATCATAATATACTTGTCATCTTTCATTAACCCACAGAGATGTCCTCAAGGAGGAGGGGGAAGGGTATGTACCCTCTCCCTCCACTTTTGAAAGATTGCAAGTTTTCTTTCACTATTTTGGTACTTTTCTAAGTCTGATTGTCAATGAGTATTGAACTATATGATGAAAGATTAATTCTATCTCTCGCGACTTGCTTCAAAGATCGCGACAAACATGCCAATATTCTTTTAACCTACAAATAGAGATTTCGATATGTCTGTAACCGTTTTGAAAGTTTTACGACATATTGATTTTTTGGTCTCCTCATGGTGTGTCATTTAGATGATGAGATTTCCAAAAGGGAGAAAAGACTAAATTTTCGTACTTTTGTGTAGTTCGAGGATGAGCCAAAACTATCCTTTGTAACTTTTTTGCCATGTATCGTATAGTATGAACACTCTCTGCAGCATATTAGCTCGAGCTCATGTTAGATAAGTCTCTCTGGCAATAAAACCCAAATAGGCCGTGCTGCTTCACTGATACTCCAATCATGAAATACAAAAATGAACTGAAACTGGTATTATTTTCATGAAACACCTAAGAAGCTCTAGACGATAACTTTGACATACCCTTGAAGTATGGTGAAGTATGGATTTTTTTATTATTTTTCCTCCTTGGATTTCTAAAATAGTTAAAGTGATTCCATCCTGTTTAAGCTTTTTATCCTGCAGGGATTGCACTGAAAGATTGTTCTTTACTATCTGGTTCTGTAGGTTTTTTTTTTTACTTTTGGCATCTATCCATGAGCGTTAAATTTCATAGGACTACTAATCATATATTAGCTTTGTACACTAATACAAAGTTTGTCAGACAAAGGAGTTATGAATCAACTATGTGTCTTTCAATAGATTTACTTTGTTATCTCTGTTGTTTCTGCGAAAGATATGGGAGAAATAATGCAGAATGAAAATAAATATGCAATAAATTACAATAAAGAATAATGATTCCAAATCATTTTGATATCGAAGAACAGAATTTTCAATAATATTTATTTATTTAAGACATCTTTTATATTGATTATAAATAAATCTTACTAGAATCTTTCAATCTCTTATGTATAGAGTCCTTAGAAAAATATAAAAGGTTGACATGTACTTGTAAATATAATATTTCCTTTTAAAAAGTTGAAAAATCTAATAATATTACCTTATTCTTCATGTTTAGTCTATTGTAATTTTTCAGGTAATTCTTTTTTACTTCGTTGCCACAAGAAAAACAAACTCTACAGTCTTGATACACAAATACTGTATATAGTATATCATATAGTAAAAATTTTGGTTGTACATGAAATAAATCATGAAATGTCTATTCAAGGTAATCATTCGCTGTACTAAATCACATAAACAGCAGAAGATAGAAAAAAAATACAAGTGTAACTATAATTACTCATATCCATTTTTTCTGTAACAAAATAGAACAGAAAAAAAAACGAAAACATCAACATTTACCAAATATTATTGAGTAATAGGATGCATTCATCCATGCAATTATTTCAGTTGTTTTTTTCATTTTCTCATACATTTTAGTGTATATTAAACTGATTCTAATGGTAAGAAGTGTATTTATTTGAATATTCAAACAGACAGACATATCGGTTTTTCACGTTTTTTTGAACAAAAATAGTAACTTTTAGTCGATCTTCATATGTTTTTTTCAATTATTTCTAAGAACGTATAAGAAGTCACGTTTTTGTTTATTTTTTCTGCTTTTCCATATTTTTTCACCTTTGTTTTTTATTCGTTTTTTCTGTCCACTTTTGTCACATTTATGCAAAAAGGTGGTTGAAAAATTATTTCAATCAAAAATCACCCATTGTAACTAAAAATTTGAATTTTTGAGTGTTTATAAAGTGAAAATTTTTGACCCGATATTTTTTTAATGTCACATTAGATTTAGTTTTTTTTTTTTGAAAGTTCACTCTTATTAGGTGTGTCATTTAACAAGAGGGATGTTATTCGGTTTTTTCTTTATTTGATTTATTCCGATACGAAAAATATTCATTTCAATTGAACTGGTGCTTTTAGTCTTATATATATTGTTTGTAATTCAAATTCTAATGGAGAATCAATGGATGAGAAAAAAAAGCTGAATCCTCAGAAACCGGAATCTGTACCAGTTCTAATTCGGAGAAAAATATAAAGTCTACTATAGATGAACACAATATGTCTACTTCATATCAATATGCAGATACAAAAATCCATCGTAGAAAACATTTCACCATAATTAAACAACTATATACTTTCGGAAATATTTGATCAGAATATAAAAAAGACATATTTAAATTACTATTACATTCGAAAGTTATTTCTAATAAAAATTATTATGATTCTATCTGTTGAGTAACTCTCATTGAACAACAGAATGGTCGATAAACATGTCATTTTTCAAATCGAAATTATTATCATAGCTGAGTTTGATAAGCATTATCAAACAAGTAGTAATGCAACACTAGCAGTACGACTTTCAGTAATCTTTTATGTACTCCACTGTGATTAACTAATCAATAATACTTTCCCTGATATCTACAAACGTAAAGGCAGGAAATATCTTCAAGGAAAATTTGACGTATTGTACAAGTAAGAATATGCTTTGGAAAAATTTTGGACGATATTATTCTGAATAATTATTATTTTATTTTCTCACATTTATGGTGAAGATTGAGAATCCTGAGCATCCGTATCTCTTTATAATTGAATTTATAATGTGATTTCGTGAATAGTGAAATAGAGAATATGCTGACTAAAGAATATCATTATGTAACAAAAGAAAAATAGCAGAGTAACACTATTATACATAAAATGTGCGCATTTGGACAGCATTAAGTTTGTGGTGTGATGTGTGAGGTTAGATGTTTGTCTGCCTTTCACCCACACCCAACCAATCATTTCTGAGGTAACATCAAAATATGAAACAAATCCATTTTTTTATGTTTATTCGTAAAGATTGACATAAATGCTTTTTAAATGAAAACTC